TTGGCCGGATATGATCTCGAATCAGGACGTTCATGCGAACTCCTTCCACCAGTGGGTCTTCTCCATCTTTGCAAATCCAAAAGAGCCGATCCCTGTTACCCTCACGGATGCAAAAAGACACAACTTCGCTAAGGAGCTCGCCGTCCAATGTCTTCACTGACACGTTCTTGTTGTCAAACGGTCCATCTGATGCCAAATTGTTTCGGATCAGTCGCTCAAGTTCATCGCGATCATTGGGAGGCTCTCGAGATCGTTGTGGCAACGTTGAAGTTCGAGGTCCATCCATGGCCCCTGAAGATCGGGATCCGTCATCGGTCCCTGGCACGTCCGAAATGTGCGGTGGAGGATGATCTGGGCTCCTGGGAGCTGGCCTCGCAGATAGTGGCCTCGGCGATGGACTTCTTCCCCTGGATGCTTGTGCATGTCTCCAAGGAGGTAACTTGCGACGAAAACTTGGTGATCTTCTGCGCCTTGCTGGTGGCGACGGTGGCGTCGGCAATCTCCGTCGACGCAATGGACTCCTTGATCTCCTTCCGGTCTCGGCCATCCTTTTGATCTCAACCTGTTCTGTCCTAAGATGTCCAACATCTGTTGCAAGCCCTTGTACCAAACGTCGAATCTCATCAAGCTGATCTGATGTAGGATGTCCTGCAGTGGGGTGATCTGATGTAGGATGAGATGAATGTCCACCTGAAACATCATCGGCTGGAGCATCGCGCACGTCACGGCTTGAAGCCACATTGCCTCGTGATCGTGCCAACCTTGACATGTTCGGGATCAAATGTCGAATTTGTCCCAAGCTCGCAGCCATGTCCTTACATCCATGACAAACTCCACCACAACGCATCTCTCCCCACATCCAGGATGATGCATGAATGAGAACAACGTCATAACCAAGGACTCTGAGACACCTGTAGGCAGCAAATCCTTGTCCCACTGACCTGTGGCGACCTGACTTGCACTCCAAGTCCACCAGCACCTTACTGTCGGCTTCCTGCTGTGTGACGAACTGGAGGATGTTGTTGAGATGTTGGATGAACCTGTCTACTTTGCTCATAGTCTCAAGGATCCCATGATGCCAACCCACATGCGACCTGAGGTTAACGTCCTGATCAGGATCGTTAATGTCCTCACAGTTGATGCTCAAAGTGCTCCTGCTGGTTCTGCACGCATGTTGTTGAAATCTACGTCCACGAGTCATGATGACCACCTTCCTGTCACTGCGCAGTTCTTCATTCAACTTCGTCTGCAAGATGTCGTAGTCCCTCGAATGAAAACCACACATGTCATGGTCAGCCATGGCAACTTCCGATGTGGATGCTGTGTATGCGATGTTGTACTTTCTGTGACACTTCGGGATTTGGGGAAGTTCATCCGACGGTGTGTTGTTGATGTTGGTCAATCCTTCAGTCAAGTTCATCACAAGTAAACCTGATTTGGAACATCTCTTGATATTCAATGGTTGATCTTTGATGGAAATCACCCCTTTTGCTAGGTCCTTCACTAGGCCTAACTTGGTTTGCGCATGCAATGAAAGAAGCAATGGGCTGTTGCCTGTTGACAATTGATATGAATCCAACTCCCCATGCATGTTCCCGTCTGGAAGCAGCAGCGAAAAAGGAATAGATCTCACACCTTCGGTCTTGGTACTACCACTTCCCAGACCAGCAAAACTCTTACAACCGTCATCCTTCAATGGCATGCTGTAACCCAATCGGGCCAGTCGTGCTTCTGCATCGACTGCCCAGGCTTTGCTATGACAAGTGCTGTTGCAACCTTCATCCAATACTGCAAAAACATGGGGTGACTTGGCAATGTCAACAGTTTCATAGTTCATGTAAACCAAGTCTTGAGGGTATTGAGTGTCACTTCCATGCAAACAAATGCCAACGTACCCAGCTAACTCCCTGCCCGAGGGGTCGCCGTGCGCATCTTCATTGACAAGTGAAAAACTGTCCTCTTCCTCTGTCACGTCATTGATGGCTTGATGCAGTAGTTCATGAAGTCGTGCACGGGTCATCACCTCAGATTGGCAGGTTTCGGTAACAAGAGTGGCAAACAAGGGTAACAACTCTTCCAACTGGACTGGATTCAATCCATCCGATTCTTCAACCAATGATTCAACAATGGGGACTGTTCGAACTGATGCTGTTTCAACCTTCTTGGCAATGGCAACACGCTCCTTGCGAATCTGCATAGGAGCTTCATCAATGAAAGTGCAACACTTCTTGCAGAAAGTACGGTGTGTTGATTTGCTGGATCCCCTAAAATCGGTGTCATCATGAGGGCAATTCTCAGGGGACATCAACGGTACCATGTCACGCCTTGTTGTTTCGGAATGACCGCACACAAGACAGGTCTTCCTGATGGTGTACCCCGTAGAACCTTGTTTTGTAAACTCACGACATTCCTGACACTTGTTCGGCAAAGGAGGATTTGGGGGTTTCTTTCTGCCAGTTCCCCGAGCCACCAACAAATCTCGGTGCTCGACATGCTCAACAGGGACTTCGCGCAAGTGAATCCCATCAGCACCAACCACAAAGTACTTGTCAACCCAATTCAACCATGTGACATAGTATGGACTCTTGGGGGTATGTTTCTTGGCATGATGATAGTACCCTGTCTGTTCAAACAACACATTCCAAAAAGACAAACCCTTGAACTGTCCAACAGGAAAGATGCACCCATGGTCCTCGGGTCTCATTGTAACATCGAGATCCCGGGAAATCAAGCCAACGTTGCTGCTGGATGCTGCTGCACGTGAAGGTCGACTGCTGGGCTTCGCTTGTCGAACTGCCATCATAGCAACTCCATCTCTGTCACGATCAGGTGAAGCTGTCAAAGTCACACCATCGTCATCTGAAGAATCGCTCATGTCGGCAAAGTGAGCTGCGGGCTTTGGGGCTGACTTTCCAGGGGCTCCGGCTTTCGACCCCGGGAATTTACATTCCGGGTCACCGGCCCAGTGCCCTATGACTCCGCATCTCAAACATTTGCTCTTCGACTTCAGCTCTGTGAGCTTCCGTCTTCTCTGATCGATCGTGAGGTTGGACTTCACGATCTTTCCTTTCCCCTTTCCTTTGGGCTTCCCGAAGGATTTGCCCTTGCCACCTGCTTTCCCCATTGCGGTGAAAGCAGCAAGTTGTAGCTGGATGGCGTCTCCTGCTTGTCGATCGTCTTCTGCACCTTCAACTTCAAGCAAGCTGTTCAATGCAACTGCTTCGTACTCATCGACGTCGTCAAAGTAATCAAATTCGTTGTCACCTTCTAGGTTTCCTGGCTCCTCTTCTGCAATGTCACCAAGCATGCCAACATATGAATCATCCTCCCAGGATTGATCCACAGCTTCATCCCAAGATTCTGCATGTTCCTCCCCATCATCGGGGTAGGCTGCATAGGCTGCTTGGGAATACGATCCCTTCGAAGAAGGTTTGCCTTTGCCATAACCCTTGCCTGACGACTTGCCATGCTGTTGAGGATTACCACGTCCTGTCCAGGATCGTGACCCTTCTCGCAAGTGAGTGCCACTGTAGTTCTCGATCAGCACCTTGCCAACACCTTCAAAATCCTTAGTGTCTGCACAGGCCTTCACAACGAGGATCTCCTGTCGATTGAGCCCACTCAACTCCAACATCAACTCTGTCCTCAAGCTGTCCGAAAACACCATTGTGTCATCCAACTCGCATAGCATGTGCCACCAACGTCGTCTCCTCTGAACATAGGAAAGCATGGGTTCGCCTGGTTGGCGAGACAAAGGACCACCTTGCTTCTGTCCTGCTCGAAATAATTCCTTGGCTTCCTCACGGGCTCTTGGAAACACATGGGATTTGATCTCACCCACAAGTTTCACAAGGCCACCAGGTTTGGACAACACTTCAAGTCCAAGATCCCTAGCTATTGAGAAAGCATCTCCTCTCAGTCCTTCAATCACCTTGTTGACCAATGGTCCACGGTCAATGTCTGTCTTCTGCTTGCCGGACTTCGAGGATTTTCGGCTCGCTCCAGACTTCGGAGTCGAGACTGCTGATGTAGGCTGGGCTGCTTGAGTAGCACCCGACAAATCTGGAAAAGTAACATACTCATCTGCGTCTTCTGCGGCAGGCTCTGTTGCTGTGGTCCCAACGGGATCCGCAGGCTTACTTGTCTCCTCCTCCAATTGTTGCTCATAAAGACGAATCCGAAGGAGAGTCCTGAACTGCCAATCATGAAAGTTCGCCGCATCACCTGCATAGATGTATGATCCACTCTTCGTCTCAAGTGGTGCCGACGAATGGCGTTCCTGATTGAAACGAAGGCCATTGATCGACATGATGCTCGCTCCGTTCGGAGTCGAACAAGGAAAAACGTTAACAAGTGTCTGCCCTGGTCAGGGTCAGACAGATTCCCGAACCACGACACACTCGAAGTTCAGTTGATTCCCAAAGTTACCAGACTCAAATTCACAAAGGGGTTCCCTGGGTCACTGACGTACCACCGGATGCAGGTCGTCACCTGCTCCGCTACCAATATGAATTGGAAACGGGATCGTCAAATGCCCAACTTTTACCACGGCAGCGCGGTATGACTCAAGGGCCCTAAAGCCAAATGTCAACGGGGCATGTGATCACTTGGCTATACAAAATATACATTAGACAGGTCAAACTCACACATGTCAATGGATTGGTTTTTATACTACCCGAAACCATCCGAAACCATAACATACCATAACTGTCAAAAAAATCAAGGTCTTCTTGTCAAGTTTCCCTTAATCCAGTTTGGAACACCTCCAATGCCTGAAAGACATTGAAAGACCAGGTCGCTCCACACCAGGTCGCTCCGCATTGGAAGCTCAAAAAGTCGACAGCACGGGATACAAATATCACCCTGTCGAAGTGATAAATCATAGCAGAATATCGCAAAAACAAACTCATTCCGACCCCCACTGTACACAGCATCTGGATACCTTGCTCCTGATTTGTGACTGGGGGGGCTTTCCAAGATCTTTCCAAGCAGAATTCGGATCAGACATAAAAGTATTCATTCGACACATCGCAGTCGCCTTCGCTCTCGTTGCACTCCTGGGGATCTGATGGATCTGATGGATCGTTACCAGATCTTACCCTTCAAGGTCCAAAAGATCCAGCCGAAAAAAACATGAAAAAAACGCCATCTTGGTGTAGAAGACCATCTGGGCAGAATCCCCATGGCTTTGCCGGAAATATGTGTAATCATGGTCCTAGATGGTCCTAGATTGTCCTAGGGGATTCACCAAAAGGGGTGAGTTTACCGACTGCAGGAGAAACAAAAGCAGTGGATTGGTTCCAAAATCGACCACGAAACCCGGATCCCCCATTTTTTTTGGTGCGGGCCAGCCATGATGGCTTCAAAATTTGCATGATTTTGCCTTCAACTAAGCCAGTGGCCAGTCATCAGCAACTAATCATACTAAAGCATACTAATCATGGAAGAAAAGGATCTGAGAAATCTGGCTTTAGATCACCAGAGGAATTTTCCCGAGGCAGTTGCTGCTCGTCGTACTCGAAGTGATCCATCTGATAGCCATTGCAACTCTCCAAGGATTCAAGGTCCGCTGAGCCCGACCGCCCAACGATTGGACCCGTCTGGCTGACGTGCGATCTCTGTGACCAAACGCCGCAAAGAATGACGAGCCAAATGGTGAAGGGGATCGCAGGAAGCATGCTATCCTGAAGGCTGAAGCTTGGTCACTCGAAAAAACATGAAACCCTCACAGTTTCTGGACGGGTTTTTTTCGTTCAACTGAGCATGAAAAGAAGCCGAAACTAAATTGGTGTCAAAATCTGTCAAGCGCTTGCGCAAGCGACATCTTTTGACAGGTACATACAGATGTCGCATGAGAATAGGATCAAGGTCAACATCAAGGCCGCTGGCATCGTCAACAGGAACGCCATAAGGACGCGGTGCTTGCTACAGCACTGTGGCATGTAGCGCACAGCCATCAACCAGATTCGCATGGAGCTCCGCATCCAAAAGAGGGCCAGAATGCCATCCATACTCCAGTTCATCAGCAGCCTTAAGGCCCAAATGACCTGGCCGTCATGGAACCTTGGGAAACAAATAGGGAAACACATAATGTTTTGGGGGTAGGAAATTGTTCGGTGTTTTTTTTGCTTTTTTAGTTTAGGATCAGGATTTTGTTTGGATTTTACATAGTATATGCAGTATTGTGGAATTTGGACCTTCTCATCTTGCACAATATATAAGTAGTATTGTTAGACGTCAAACTCTAGCATGAGACATTGTGGAAATTCAATCAAATACTATATTTTGAAGCATTGTGAAACCTTAACTTGGTAACCGGTTCATTACATCTCATTTGACTTTCGTGGGTTTCACAGTCTTTACGCCAAAGCAAATAAACCAAAAAGATAAAGGTAAGAACATGTAAGAACACAAAGCAACAGAATAGAAACAACTGGAGGGCTGCATGGGCAGCCCCTCCCCCCCGAACGCAAAGACAACTTCGTTCTAGTTTTGGTCCTTATTTGCGGTTGTGGTTGTTCTTGTTACTCTTGTTGCTCTCGCTGCTTGTGTTATTTGTATTGTTCTCGTTGTTACTGTTCTTCTTGATGTTCATGTTGTTCCTGTTGTTCTTGATGTTATTGCTGTTATTGTTGTTGTTGTTGTTGCTGTTGTTGTTGTTGTTGTTATTGTTGTTCAGGGCCGTTCCCACAACTTCGAAACAACAGCCACTATGTAGGAACAGCAGTTTGACCGTGGGGTTGGCTATTGGTTGTTTTTCACCAGTTGCGAAGCAAATTCGCATCGACCAATAATATGACAGCAAAAGGCATGGCAAAAAAAAAACATTACCGAACCTTTTTTTGAGGCCATCAGAATTCAGCCCGATCATCCGTGGATAAATACAAGCCCCTACATCATCGCCACCAGTGGCGATGGGTCCATCCAGGTTGAAGCAGAATGAACCACCACAGTAGCACCCACAGCTTAAGTTTAAAGAGTTGCAAACACAATGACACCTGGTAACAGCTATAATCATCGATTATCAATGCTTTCATTAAATTACTGTTTTGGATTGTGGGACTTACTCGTTAATTATCAGACCATCTACCAGTACTAGAAGATTAAATGGGAGCAGGCGCTTCCTCTGTTCCAGGTGAAGTTTGCTTGGCAACAATGCTTCGCTATAGTCATCCCGCCCGTCACGGGCAAGCACCGTCCCTGAGAAGATGACCGGGCAATTGAGGGAACACATTGTCACATTGCAATCAAGTAAGGCCGTTTTCACTGATGCTGAGCGGCTCAAGAACACACTGCAAGCCGATAGCGATAGGGAACCGAAAGGCTCAGGATTCATGCTTCACCTGCACACGTTCTGTCGTCGCACCAGCAAACTTCAACTGATGGCTTGTGAAATATGAAGTGCTGGAGAACATTGTTGCAGAACCTGTGGCGGTGTGCGCGCCGCAGGCCCTGATTTCGCCATCAGCGTTTTGAATTCCTATCTGAGCCCCCCTAAGAACACCTGAAGCCGTTGCCAGAGTTGCCGTCTTTCGCATGGGAATATTTTTCCAAATGTCTGCAGCCCAATGACTTCTGGGGCCCCTGCCTATCTCACTCAAGTCCAGCACATGGGAGCAGGTGCATCTTGAGTGAAAGGTTAAGATCTCCAGCGTCAAGGCGCAGCCGGTGAATTTCGGAATTTCGCATTGCGTCTTAAGGTGATAGCCGTGCGGTGTCTGGATTTGCCACTGCTGAGCTGACTTCAAGAGAAAGTTTGGAAACTTTCATCGCGCTCACACATCATGAGTCTAGCAGAGGTAGTTGTAGATCATTTGGCCATTGTGGAATTGGATTTCGGCTTCACCAACAAAGGCATTGGGGAACTGCAAGCGTAAGCTGCCGGGATGCAATGGAAGGGAAGAAGGCGGAGAATGCCGATGAGGTTGGACTGGAGAAGGCACAAAAGATGAAGACCCAGCCAAGAACAGCACCCCCCCAAAGCCGACTGGAAAGGGCATGGCGGAGGACTTACATACAACATTATATGCTGCAACGCGACGGAACGCGAATATAGCAGTTGGCCACTGTGGCACGCAGCCATTCTTCCCGGCTGTAGCCGTCAGCAGCACATGGCTTGAATTTTGATCTGCGACGTGGGTGCGAAAACAATAGCATTAATTGCTCGCACCAAGAGCTGATTTCCTTTGGGCTCAAGAAACACATGCATGCTCCATCACAGAGGACGCAAATCTTTTTCGGTGCTGCCGGCAAAATTGTGTCCAACTATGTGGCACTCTAAAATCTAAAGCCTTGGTTCGCTCAAAATTGTACTGCCTATCGTTTCTATATCTTCTGCTCTACGCGTTCTTTTGACAAGCCAAAAGGTAGAAACACTTTCTCTTCAAGCGGCTATGCCACCAAGTCCCGTATCGTCTCAACTGTATTGGTCCTTTTGATGAATTTGAATCATCCCAAGCACAGTGTCACAGCGACACCCTGCTTGGTGGGATTCGGAATCCACAATCAGAAGAAACATTGTTGCCTCAGCTGCTTCTCTTGTATATGTGGCCAGTCCAAGCCATCTAAGCTTTCCAAGTGGGATTCGGCATTTTGAATCATCCCAAGCACGGTGTCACAGCGACACCCTCCTTGGTGGGATTCCCAATCCAGAATGCCCGGAACAGCTCTGGAAGGTGCCCGGATTAAGGTCTCTGATTGCCTAGGTCTAGAGGCGCTGGCGATGCAGCTGTTCTGTGTTGCCATGTGTTTGCATCCAGGGTGGCCTTTGAAGCGTCCATTCAAGTTCCGGCATGCATGCTTGTTCTTTCAAGCTCTGCGTAGCAAGCACGAAAAACAACAACACGCAAGTCCACAATTTCAATAGTCTCCACAAAGCCGTTTCAACAAGATGGAAGCCATATTGAGGAACCCTTCGGATATTAAAGAATCTGCCAAAAAAATATGCTTTCAGTTCTTTTCTCAATGAGCAGCCAACCCAAATGCATTAGATTGCAACAGTGAGAACATAAGCTCACACCATTCCATCTCCTGGGCCTTCAGCTTGTATAACTCCTTCCGTCACATGCGGTCTAGGGCGCGCGGCTTTTGCGCGCCCAGCTTCTTTATGGGTTCAGTATACCGCCGGAAAATCATCCCAGTCTGTGTGTTCCTCCTGTTTGGGGTTGTATCCCAGCTTCTGTCAAACTGTTGCCTCCGTTGCTTAAAACCACATATACCAAACGGTACTAGGGCCTACATAAAGGCGCGCGCTTTTCGCGCGCCTATTGTAGGCGCGCGCTTTCTGCGCGCCTAGGGCGCGCGCTCTTTGCGCGCCTATTGTAGGCGCGCGCTCTTTGCGCGCCTGGGGCGCGCGCTTCTTGCGCGCCTGGGGCGGGCGCTTTTTGCGCGCCTGGTGCGGCGAGTGCTTTTTCCAAGCCAGGCCTAGCCGTTGGGTATTTTTGTTGTGTTTTGCACTACCCTGCTCCCGTTTGGTTCATGGCCAAAACCGCTCTGCACTGCAATATCGTTGTCCACGCCAATGTCCTCGGGCGTGCTTCATTCCAGCACCCTAAGAGCCATCTGCTCCCTCCCCCATTCATCCTTCTTTCTGTACCCATCTCTTCCACCGAAATCTTATGAAAACTGCCCTCGTCCATCAAATTATTCGGATATATATATATATATATATTTATACTATCTGTATGTGTAAGATGCGGCCAAGCAAAATCAAATATCTAGGACCACCTCTTCCACTCCGTTCCGCTCCCTCACATCCACATCCCTTCCAGACGATGGGCGGAAAAACGGACGTGCTGAAATGTAGTTAAGCGATTATGCCTTAGATATGTAGAATACCCATTGACGCTGCACGTCGGGAATTGATAGATCCATCATAAACTTGCGGTCTGCGGCCGGATGCTGTTGGTCCCGTGGGGCCAAGAGCGGCAACAATAGAGCTCCAGAATGCTAGACCGAGGAAAGAGTAATGAGAACATCTGCCAACCATAATGGGATCGAAATCCGTGCGTAAATGGCTTTAATAATGGGAATACCATATTAATAAGATAGTCTTGCTGGCATCTACCAGGAATAACGGGATGACAAGCAGCCCGCTATGGTTGGCATATATGCCTAAGGCCTATCACGAAATTGTAGCCAACTTGCTGATATATCATATGAACAGTTCCTCGCATTGACGCGTTCCACTCATCATTCCAGGCAATCATTCATTCGAGGACCTCGAAATCTATGATGTCCGTTCTTGTTAGTAGGCGTTTCGCGTATATACCCAGTTGATATATACCCATACTTGATATCCCCGTTCATTAGCTCTACAATCCGTAATGGTGAAACAAAAACAAGGTTGATTTCCTACACAATGACAGCCCCAGTTTGGCTTTTGGGCACGCCCCTGTTGTTGTCCTTCTTGTTCTTGTTCGTGAAGTTCTTGTAGTTCTTGTTGTTCTTGTTGTTGCTGATGTTCTTGTTGTTCTTGTTGTTTTTGTTGTTCTTGCTGATCTTCTTGTTGTTGTTGTGGTGGTGGTGATGGTTGTGGTTGTGATTGTGGTTGTGTTTGCGGTTGTGCTTGGGGTGGTGGTGGTGGTGGTGGTGGGTGGTGGTGTGGTGGGGTGGTGGTGGTGGTGGTGGTGGTGGTGGTGGTGGTGGTGAGTGTGGTTGGTGGTGGTGGTGGTGGTGGTGGTGGTGGTGGTGGTGGTGGTGGTGGTCTTCTTCTTGTTCTTGTTCTTGTTCTTGTTTTGTTTTTGTTGGTGTTGTTGCTATTGTTGTTGTTCTTGCTGGTGTTGTTGTTCTTGCTGTTGCTGTTGCTGTTGCTGTTGCTGTTGGTGTCGTTGTTGTCGTTGTCGTTGTCGTTGTCGTTGTCATTGTCGTTGTCGTTGTCGTTGTCGTTGTCGTTGTTGTTGTTGTTGTTGTTGTCGTTGTCGTTGTCGTTGTCGTTGTCGTTGTTGTTGTTGTTGTTGTTGTTGTTGGTTGTTGTTCTTGCTGTTGCTGTTGCTGTTGCTGTTGCTGTTGCTGTTGCTGTTGCTGTTGCTGTTGTTGTTGTTGTTGTACTTGTACTTGTACTTGAAAAAGCAGAAGAAGAGGGAAAAAACAGAAAAATCAACAAGAAGGAAAACAGCGCAGCCAAAACGAAAAAACAAAAGCAAACAGACAACTAAACAGAAACAAAAAGTAGGCAGAAAAGCAAACCGCGGAAAAGCAGAGAAGCAGAAAAGAGGAAAAAAAACAGAGAAGCAGAAAAGCAGAAAAGCAAAAGAGGCAAAGAAGAGCAAAGCAGAAAAGGCAAAGAAGCAGAGAAGCAAGAAGCAAAAAAGCAGAAAGGCGCAAAAAACATAAGAAATCAAAAAAAGCAACAAACATATTGCCTATAAATAAATAGTTCCCCTTCGTTTTCGAAAATGAAGGCATTTTCAGTTCCGTTTTAGACGTCCAGCGGGGAGCTGTTGGTTGTTTTTGCCTTTGCTCTTTCAGATGGAGCACTAAACTCATGTTCCTAGCATGAATTTCTGAATGAGAACCCGAAGTTGTAGATAAGCCACACAAAGATGGACGGCTGGAAAATTATATACCAACATATTTTTCCAAATGTGGACGGCTTACAATTACCAACAGATTTTTCGAAATGATGTGGTAACATGTTATGACATGTTATGACTAATCCCTTCCTCCTAATACTAAACGTCCCCCTAATACTAAAAACAGGCATCCATCTCCAATTTCCGAAAATTTCAGTTTGGCCAATTTGACTTTTAATTGATCCCCTTTAAAAAACAATTTAAAATCAACCTACCATTTGTGGGTTCTCCCCCCTAATACTAAAAACTAGTTCACCCCGGGGTGTTTAGTATTAGGGGGGCCTAGTCCCAATCCCTCACCCCAAGCTGCCTGGCTACTCTAGCAATTAGGGGTAAGCTTCGAACTGCCATTTTTGGCAATATTTTAATTGCGTTATATAAGGAAATTTAATTAATTAATTAACATGACTTCGATTTGGTTCCCTAATAATAAATACCCCCCTAATACTAAAAACTACCTGCCGTGTTTTGTATTAGGGGGGGGCGGGGGGGGGGTTTAGTATTAGGAGGAAGGGATTACTTAGTACGCGAGAGTAAACGTTACTACTTGGTCGGTGCCCATCACGTGGCACAGGCCGCACCTGCTGTGAAGCATCTGGGAGCTCTGATTGTCCAGCCATAATTTTCGGAATCAATGAGGTGAGCACGGGCAAAATTGCAGGAATGAGCATGTAGAAGCCTGGCAGAAGGCAGAAACTGGCAGAAAAAATCTGAAAAAATGACAAAACATGACAAAACTACCTGCGCAAAGCGGCGTTGTGAAAATATGTGAAGATGGTGTACCCCAAAATTTCATGGTTGACAGTAGACCATCAATGGCCTACTGTCACCAGCGACCATATATAAATTGGAGGTCAATCCCTTCGTCGGATAAAAATGGCCCTGCTCCCAGTGATTCTGGGTCCAGGATCAGCCAACTCCATGTGCCAGCTGGGTGACCCTGTGACATGGTCATGGTCCACATCCAGCTGTGGATCCACTTTTTGTGGATGTTGACGTAGGATTCGAGAGATTTTTTGTTCGTGGTTTCTCGGGTTTCGGGATCCTTTGACTAATCTTCATTTCCAGCTTGAAGTCCAAAACTGATGGTTTCATTGTAAAATTGTAAACCGAAAAGAACTTACACTTGCTCGACTCCCCCAATCGGATTTGAACCTCAAGGCTGTTTTAATTGTTCCCCATCCTTTATTGGGGCAGCGAATTTCTGTGACTGGCTGAGTTTCACAGGGCATCCTGATGCATCCGGTCACCTTTATAAGATGATCTCTGGTCATCCGGACAGAAATGCTCCGGAAGTCTCTGGTGACTCAGTGACCAAAATGGCCAAGCTGCTGTAATTCAATGGCAGCATGTCACTTCCCATGCTGCGCAGAACTTTTGGAGCCAGCTCTTCCTAAGCCAGGCCGTGAAAGGGAAAATATGTGCTCTATCTTAAAGATATTTAAAGCTACATAAAACTGCTATCTTAAAATGGGTCACCATTTTTATTGGCTTGTTCAATATGTTAGAACTTCATAAGTCCACACAAGCTCCGATGTTTTATGAAGTTCTCAACAGAGACCAATCGAACTCTAGCACAAGAAGCTAAAAACCAAGCTGGTTGGTGGTTTCAACCCCTCTGAAAGATATTAGTCAATTGGGATCATTATTCCCAATATATATATATATATCAATATAATATATGGAAAAAATGTTCCAGACCACCAACCAGCAAGAAATTGTCACTAAAATGCAGCTTGAAAGACCTGCACCAGAAAATTGAAGCGCTCCAGATAGAGTTTCTCCCCTTTTGGGTCGTTTTCTCTGCCATACCACCTCTTGAGCATCTTGAAAATCAGCAGGCGATCACACGGCATAACCTGACAGCAGCTGAAGACTGGAGTTTTCATCATTACGGATGAATTTTGGACATAGTTTTGGACATCGTTTTTTGTTCCAGATTGGTAGATGGGTTTGTCCAAGAACAAACGATACCAGGTAATACCAGGTACAAAATTGCCACAAAAAAAATGTGAAAAATCATGCGACTCCTTGCGAATTGGGGGTTATCCAGGGCGATCCGATCAAACACGTGGGCCATGTGGGCCCCACGATTGACGTGGCTGCGGAGTCTGCGAAAGATATCAATCAGTTTCAATGATTCCGAAGAATTAGCCTACCCGGAAAACAAAGGTATTTACTATAAATATTTTACTGTCATTCTGAAGGTTTCCTGAACAATCCCCTCGAACCCTTTCTGGGACAATGGCATCATAGACACAAACCTTTGGCACTTTCCCAATGCGAATCTGCGTGTTGAGCTGCAAGCACAGTACCCATTCTGTCGTCCCTGTTGATGATGCGGTCTTAAAACAAAAATGCCACCATTATATAGTATATTAGATAGCTGGTTGGTGGTTTTAACCATCTTGAAAAATATTAGTCAATGGGAAGGATTATCTCATATATTATGGAAAATAAAAAATGTTTGAAACCACCAACCAGATAGGATAGACCGGATAGGAAAGATTAGATCATATTGGAATAGGACAATGAAACCGGAGGTTTTCTGAAATGGGGGTACCCCCCAGTCATCATCCATTTACATAGGACTTTCCATGAAATATCCAGCTGGGGTGCCACCATGTATGGAAACCTCCAATTCGATACCAATGAGTCGAACCATTGAACCCCTCACCAGCGCCCGAGCGTGGTCGCCTCGCCGGTTTCGGGATGGCGGTGTTGATTGGAGCAGCAGAAACAATCGGCGTCCTGCACCCTGAAGTGGCGCAGCCTGGCAAAGGGTCGAAAGCCTTTCCGGTATCTGGGAACGGTACCCGTTAAAGTCATAGCTGGTGGATGGTTCTTCCCCCAGAAAAATATGGTAATAGGTTTTGACATCATCATATTATGAAGATGTTGCCATGATTTTTTTCAGAAACCAAGGTTTGCCAAAGGCTTCTGTTCATCCAAAATGAAGGGTTTCTGGCAGCCAAGGAGCTGGTCAGGAAGGGCGGCTAAATCTTCCATCATCCCGATGCCAATGTAATACAAGAGTGGCATCACCACGCCAAAGAAGGGGACATGAAACAGGTTTTCAAAATAGTCCTCCTGCACTCGTATCCAACCGATGTGCAATTCCCATCCAAGGCTTTTGCAGAGGAAGTGGTTCAACATGCTGAATCCTGGGAAGAACGTTCTGGCAGCATGCGAAAATCCATGGCTTTTTGGCTTGTCCAGGTGGTTGGCCCCCCAGATTGAGGATTTTGCAAATCGCTTCTCAGCTGAATTGTTTGATTGCTTTAGATAAACATCCAGCCCAATTACTTTCTTCGATCCCCGCCAACCGATGTTATATCTGACATATGTTCGGACATTCGGAATCTGGCATTCCATGTGGCAGTCTATCTGACATAGATTCTGGCAAACACCTAAAATATATTCTGACACTCTATCTGACACTCTATCTGACATATATTCGGACATTCCAGATCTGGCATTCCATCTGACATATTCTAACATTTATTCTTGGAAGGAAGGAAGGAAGGAAGGAAGGAAGCAGGATGTATTGAAAAATCATGTAAAATCTAGATACCCTCACCTTCCAGGTGGGGGAAAACCGTGGAAAAACATGAGATATCCAGATTCAAAAAACTCCCAAATATGCGTATGAAAGAAGTGTATCAAACATCATAGATACTACTTGGTGGCTCATCCCACTTACTAAGTAGGTTATTGCCCTGGTTTCTTCAGTGGGATAGGCTTAAATCTCCGACAACTAGGGTGAACTAATCTGTTACAACCTACGATCCGCGGCCCAGACTCCCACCATCACCAAATGCATGGCGGCTGAAAAGATCATCAAGACCACAGCCAGTTTCACCGGCATCACCTCGCGCAGGTGTCATGGGCGAGCATGGACTGGGTGTTTTGCATGGTGTTTTCAAGAACTGGCTGGCGAATTCCCGACCCAAAAACTTACGAATACTTGGTGTCCTTTTAAACTGCAGCAGCTCAAACGTGCGAAAGACCTTACGAATTTAGACCGTTAGACCTTCTTGGTGTTGAAAATTGGGACACCCGGGTTTTCGCGCGTTACGGATCGTTGCGGTCTCACAGTCTCACCAAAACAATGACCAATCTTAGATGTTCCCGCACTGCAACCCGAACTCGGAAAAGAATCCAAACGGCAGCTATTCCAAATACCATATAGAATACCCTCTGGTAAACGTTTACAGTTTGCTATTAAAAATGGCCCAGTCGAAATAGTGGATTTACCAATTTTTCATAGCATGGTGAATCTTTCCATAGTTTTTCGTATGTTGACCAGGCCGGGTGACCAAGATGGGTTTGGGCTTCTCGGTCTCCCTGAGAAATGTGCTGATCTCATAGGTGCACCTTGGACGGTTTTTTTTTGCGACCGGTGAAAGACGTGAAACAACTGACGCATATCAGGGATCTCACAAGGAATACATGAAAATATAGACCAGTGATCCTGTAAAGTGTCTAGATGTGGATACTATGAGGTGTTGACCCATTGTTTGTAGATCATTTTCCGAACTGCTTTCCATTGGCTTCTGAATCATCCATGGATTCATGGCGAGCCCAGAGATCCATGGTGTTTTCCACCGGCCGCTGTTCTCTTCCGAGAGGCCAAAGACGACTGAAATAGCGTTTGGACCAGAGGACCGTCAGCTCATCTGAATGGTCCAGGAAACCGGCCAGTCCAAAGATGCCAGCCCGTTTCCTCAGCCAAATGCAGAAAACAAAAAAGGACAAGAAGAAGAAGAACGCCAAAAGCGGTGACTCCTTTGCTGGGAGAAATTCAACCCAAGGTGAATGGCAGCGATTTGTTCCACCATTTCCAAGTCCAAGTCACAGTTCCTCATCATGTTGTGCAATGCAAAGCTTGTCAAAGAAAACGGTTTTTGGCGACCGCAAGATCACTGAACGAATCCGCTGCCAGAAAAGGAGCACGAAGGGAAAAACCGAGTAGGCCTGATTGCTGGATTCATAGGGGCCCACAGAACCGCAAAAAACGACATCGAAAGATTACTTTCGGGTTGGGACACAGGCGGACCTTTGGATTAAGAAGGTTCTCACCCCAAAAACTCCAAACTCCCAACGGCCATGCCGCCATGCCGTTGGCAGCTCATTCTTGCCGCAGCTTGTGGGGCTGCGTTTTTCTCCTCTCCAAGGCACGAGCAAAGTGGGCCAAAAGCCATCAGGGATAAGCTGAGTGCCGCATAGGATGCTGACACACAAACTCACCTGAGATTGGAAGGACCAAGGGATTCTAAGCATCAAGAACGGGGATTTGGACACTAAAAATTGGATATTCAATCAACGATTTATCATCAAAAATAGAAAGTTGAACAATTGAAGAGTTGAAGAAAAAGTTGGGATTTCCACATATTTCAACACATTTCGATGGGATCCAATGGGGCGAAGGGAAGCTAGTCCTGATCAAACCTGGCCCAATGGAGATTCGTCAGGATAAAGTGGCCCAGTGTCGCCACTGTTCAATAGAAAAGCGTGGAGTTGGTCATCCAACCACTTTTGAGGATTCTCTATATTGGACACATGAATCACTAGTAGTCCTATGCAGCGCTTAGTTTTCGGGATCCTTTGATGTCTCCACCCGCGGCAACTTGAGTGGTGTTTGGTGGTCTTAAGCAACTATCTGTGTGTGTGTGTTTTTACCTCGGGGTTCCGGTTTAGTGTTCATGATAAAACGAGTCACGTGTGGGTCACTGCCCCAATTCCGTGGTGCTTCCATGTTTTGTTTGCAAACAGGTTGCGAGTCGCTCTTTCCGGGGTGAAAGATGCGTTGGGAAAAAAAAGTCGGAAGGCCAAGATGCAGAAGGGGAGAAGACAAGGGAAAACATTGATGCAGTTTTGCAACCCAACAGCAGGTTCTGGGCTTCCAAGGTTCCGTTCCGGTTGTCAGGGCCGACAAAAACGGCGCACCACCCCCAGAGATTGAACCCAACATTCACAGCTGTTGGGAAGCAGAAAAACCGGAAAGCAAGTAGCCACAGAAGCAACAACAGAGGATCAGAAAAGCAGCAAAGAAGGGAAGAAGAAACAGCGGAGGTCAGTCCACCCAAGGAAGAGGCAAGAACAGCATGCACCGCTAGAATCAGGAAAAAAACTGAACCATCCAAAGAATAAACATATACAGTAATAAAAATACATAGAAATAAATAATAAACATCAACAAATCCATTCCCAAAGGCTTTGCACCACATAACTTGCAATCAAAATGCCTATCAGATCCTATCAGTCTATACTCCAGCTGCTCACCTACTACATCCATATTATCCATGTCCGAAATCTGGATCCCTTTTCGAAAAATACGCGATCTCAACAGTCAAATGTGACTTTCCCGCTGCGAGTGACCAACAGCGAAGAGAGAAAGGCAGCTCTGGAGTTGTACAGGACCATGAGTGACCTTGGTTATGTCAAGAATCGGAACTGGACCAAAGATATGTTCAACAGACAAAGTTGCCATGTCAACCAACAAAAACATTTGTGTTTATCTTTTTTTGATATTTTTTGAATGGAAAAATGACCACCCAGATTGACCAACATCAGCACCGTCCTGGGACCATCCCAGGATTAGTTTGATACTGGGAACCAGCGTCACCAGCTGTACCATGGTGGTTACACCACTCCCAGTATCATCGTCACCAGTCATATCACCCCCAACAACCAACGCAACAACCAACGCTCCGAGACTTCGCCCAAGGACATGACTTTCAAGCAGCGAGAAGTGTTCCAGTCGTGACTTAAGAAGGAATGGAAACGGTTCATTTGCTTGCTGAGGTCATAGAGATGATGATCAACCTTGAACATTCCAGGATCTGGTCGTGCAAAGTGCTGACCGAATCTGCTCAAACACACGTCCTGAGAGGTACGTGACTTGATGGGCAAAAAAGGGGGGGTACCTTGTTTGATCCATTAATTAAAATGGTGGTGCTTTAAGATTGAGTTTGTTTTAAAATAGGGTGCCCTATTTGAAGCCTATGTTTAATCATGATCATAATCCTATGGTCATAAATTGAAAGCAAAACCTCCATTTCCAGACAATCTGAAATATGTTGTTGTTCAATCATCATTCTTGTGGGTATCCAGCGTCATTTTTTTTCCAAGTTCAGGGCGCTTCCAATGCTCACAGATTTATTTTTCTCCATGAATCTTTGGATTCCACTTGGATGGTTACCCGGCCTGGTAAACATACAAAAAACTATGGAAAATCATCATTTTTAATGGGTAAATCAACTATGTAACTATTTCTATGGCCATTTTCCAGTTCGCAAACTGTTTGTTTTACATTCACCAAGCATCCAGAGCTACACCACGCACCAATTCTGCCCGAAGCTTCGTTTGGAGTTGTTCCATGCTAGAGGTGATCCGCACCACCTCTGCAGAGGAGGCGATCTTCGCTACCTCCATGGATTCGTCCCCCATGGCCGCCATGGCGTGCGTTCGACTGCCAAAAAAAGGTATTTGGTATTTGTTTTTGAACGCACGGTATACTTATATATATATATATATATTGTGTACCATATATTATAGACATTTACATGTATATCTATATATATATATATACATATTATTATACATTACACTACATTAGACTACATTGCACTTTATTTACACTATATTTACACCACATTTACACTACATACACTTCATTAGACTACATCACACTTCATTACACTGCATTACACTACGTACATTAGTAAATACATATATTCATCATATGTGTATGTGAGTATATATACATTACACTTGCCTTATATACGTATATCAATATACGTATTACAGAAGTATATAGATATACTGTACATATACAAGTTATGTTAGCATCTGTGTCAAGCCTCAAAGTCAACGTCTTCGCTAGAATACCATGCAACTTGAGCCACCTGCTGCGCATTGCTTCCAACTGTGCACAAAACTTGCGCAGCTTTCACAGGGCCCATCCACTCCATGACTTCTTTTGTGCTGGACAAGTCTGTAATTAAAGCTTGAAGACGCTAACGAATTCAATATTGAAGGCTGGTGGCTAAACATATAGCAATTCGAAAAAACAAATATATACCCTCTGGAAATTTAACATAGCTATTGAAAATGGCCCAGTCGAAATAGTTGATTTACCTATTAATGATTCTGATTTTCCATTTCGCTATGTTAGTTTACCAGAGGGTACTATAGGCATATCTACATTTATCTATACCAGAAACCAATAAACTTCATGTATCAATGGTTATATCCCAATATATTCCAATATTATCTATTTCAATAATGGGTAACTTCGCACAGCCAATCTCGGCGCCTCAAGGCCTTTCGCAAGTCGATTTGGTCTCGTTGGTCCTACACCCCAAGCGAGCATTGGAAGGTTTATTCCATGGAACATCCGCAATTTTTAAGAAATGGATGATTTGGGGGTACACCCATTTTAGAAAAACTCCATATTATATCATATATTATATCATATATTATATTATATATAATTTAAATAAATATGTTCCAATGTGTTTATATGATTTTATATGGGGGGTTGGGGTTCATGGAGGATTTTTTGTTTTTTCTGGATCACTGGGGATCATCATGGTCATCATGGGCTCCAGAATGGTGACAACAATAGGAGATATCATTTGATATCACCAACCATACCCGGCCTGGTAAACATACAAAAAACGATAGAACATCTCAATTTTTAATAATGGGAAAATCAACTACAGTATTTGGTGGTGCAATAACCATCTTGAAAAACATTATACAATGGGACGGATTATCCCCTATATTATGGAATTTTAAAGATGTTTGAAACCACCAACCAGCAACTATTAATGGACCATTTTCAATAGCTATGTTAGTTTACCAGAGGGTATGTCATATGGGGGTTTCCTGAATTGCGGGATACCATGGGGGACCCAAAAAGGACGATTTTTTCCGCCACTTTAGTGCTGTGTGACAGCTGTAGAGAAACAAACAAACAACAAATTCAGGGGTGACAACGAGACACACCCGGGGACCGGGGAATAGATGACACAAATGCCAGGTTTTTCTTATGGGAAATCTCGTTAAAACAGATGATTTGGGGGTACCCCGGTCTTGACTGTACCCCTACTTTAGGAAACCTCCGTATTATTCTTGGGTCTGGGCACCCAAGTCATGGCCATGCTGACTAGAAAGGCGCTTAAACCCATCATTTTCAGAACCCATAGCCTCCGGTAAACGTAGCAATGGTTCAAAAAAAACAGTTACAAACTGGTTGGTGGTTGACCTACCCCTCTGAAAAATGATGGAGTTCGTCAGTTGGGATGATGACATTCCATTCCCAACTGAATGGAAAGTCATAAAATTCCATGGTTCCAAACCACCATTGGACTTCGCTTTCCGGGTAGTTTGCTGATCCCACTCCGTCCTGGATCCAGTTGGGGAGCCTGTGATGCCTGTGCAGTGCTGGCTGCACGGAACACGCCCGGCATGCGGAACGCAAAGAGACTTTCTGCCCGCAACTGCAACAGCAGCTGCTGCCTGGCCATGGGATCGGCAAGTAACTCTCCAAATCCATGTTTGATCACTGGAAATGGCCAAAACAACTGCCTGGAACGAGTCAGTTGCCTATTTTTATGGTCCACTTTGAGCTAGTGGTCATTTTGTTGTCAGTGCGCAATTTTCGGAAAAACGTACTCCTAAAATAGTGCACTTTGCAGTGACACCAAAAATTGTGCACTTTGCGACGCAGTGACCAAAAAATGGTACACTATGCTTCCCAAGTGGTGAAATGATCCATGTTGTAGTGTCTATGTTGACTGTTCTTGATAATTTCATGGTGTTGAACAATGGTGCTATAATGAATCATCTTGAATTTGATGGTGTCTGATTTTATCTTGCAATGATCACTGGAAATTCGGACACCAAAATTCATTCGAATTTCACCTGTCAGGGTGCTGACAGGTAGCCACCAATCTTTGTCAGGACCGGAAACGTAGAACGTATAGGGTAACCATCAACTTAGCACAGTTTTCTCACCATGGGACAGGACATCATGGATCAATTTCCTACCAAGATCAATCACACATCGATCCTTGTCTCACAGGATCAAACATGCTGAAGCACGAATCCCCTCCCCAAAATGACCACTTTTCGGGATTTCTGTTGACCCAAAATGACCCAAATGCACCTCTGCCGCACATATGCAGCTGCATCCCTGCTCAACTGCCATCCCAGCGCGGGAGCCTGCTCGCACAGCGCACCCCGAAGAAAAAGCAGCCCCGTTGTTCCGACGTTTCACAGAAGCCGGGCACCTCGAAGACACCGTCTTTCATGGCATCCGGCCTGACATCTGGGGATTTCAATGACAAAAAATGGTGACTTCTCGTGAGAATCAAGATAAACAACAAAAAATTGAAATCGAAATCAATATAAACAACAAAAACATTGAAATCGAATGAACGGAAAATTATCATCAACAAGATCGACTGCCTGAAAATGTCCAAAATGAGTGTTTGTTTATATGGTTTAAATTCCAATGGTTGATCGATTGTTGATCATATTAGCCCAGGCAAAATAGTGTAAATATGTGTAAATCTAGCCATTGGTTGGATAAACCCGCCATTTGTAGTGCATTTGCAGGACTTCAACTGGTGAGTTGTCGCTGGTCCGGTGGCGATTTTCCGCCGAGACTTCAATCAGCCAGCGGCACCCGGTCGGCATCAAACCTCGAAAGGGCAGGGATCAAAGCGGAGAATGTCACCATGACTGGTTGGTGGTTGGCAGGGATCAAAACCCCTCTGAAAAATATCAGTTGGGATGATGACATTCCCAATATATGGAAAAATAAAACATGTTCCAAACCACCAATCAAATGATATTAGGCCTTGTTACTAGTTCTTCTATGATTTTTGCAAGATGTCACGGTGTGTTTTAATCATGTTCACGGTTGCTACTACTGCTTTCACCCCAAGAAGTAGAAACCAACCACAGTGAAGAGAAACATCTTCAGCACTCTCTAAAGTTCCAGCCAGAACCGTCCCATGCTGGTCTCATCAACTGGTTTTTTCGATGTTTTTCTCACGAAAAATGCCGGTGAAAACAGCTCCAGCTTCATACCTTGGCCCCCTGACTTGGCGGCCTCAACGGTTGTGCGACCTGGCTTAGCTGGAGGATAGCCATGGCATCAAACCTCCAAGGGGCTACCTCCAAAGTGGCTAAGTTTGCTGGGGGAAAATGAGGTCCGAAACGGTGAAACGCTGTGATTTCTTGGGGTTCGCCAGGGGTAACCGGGGTAGCCGACTTTTACAAAGCCATTTGGCTGTGGCTCAAAATCATTCGACCACAAAAATGACCAGTTTTAGGCCCATGGCCAACCCTTTCGCCAAAGCCTATGCTGGCCTTGCCTCTGCCCTGAATCGCGGCGTTGCATACCTTGGGTACAAAAAACATCAGATCAAAGCCAGACGCAGAGAAAGGAAGCACACAACGCAAAGTTCATGATGCCAAAAAAACGTCCCCAAGACATCCATGAACATCCACTACAGTAACATCCAACTCTGAAAATTCACAAGCCATAGCAGCCATAGCCATTTGTGAGACACCACAAACCAAGCGACGCATTTGCTCTGGTGGGTGAGAAGTCACCTGCTTTTCGCTCGATCAAGTTTGGACTATCCCCACACATCACAATAGTTTTGACCCCAAAAAAAAATCTCTGGAAACATCATTTTACCCCCAATAGTTGGAAACCCACAATAGTTTTGACCCCAAAAAAAAATCATCTGGTTCGAAACATCATTTTACTCACGGAAACTACAAGTTCTCGTGTGGCTGCCCCCAATTTTCCGACACATTGATATAATTCAGTGATATATCGCAAATTATCTTCCATTATCCCCAGTAATCCCCGTTAAAAAAAAAAAACAAATCTAGGTGTCATCAAAACATCATCAACAGATATATAATCATATATATATATAATTATAGAAACATATGGTTTTCTTTGAGAATAGGCTAGCCTTTCCCACATCATGATTTTCCGAAAAATGGCCATTGCCTGGCCATCCTGCGACGGCTAAGTGCCTGGGAAAAACCATGCTGGTTTCATGGGATTCTATGGGGAAACTAAGAAAAACATGTGGAACACCCAGGTATTTTGGGTCCTTTGGCTTCGGATTTTTTCTGATCTACGGAAAAGAGTTGCTGGGTAAACTCCAAACTCCATGTAAACGTTGAAAAAGGATGCTAAAGCCACTGAAATCGGTCATCTTTTTAGGTGAATGATGGGTAATTCTCACCACTTTTAATGATGTCCACGTGACGTTCCACTAGTGACTCCCTATAAGTTGGCATCCCAACTAACCAGTGGATTACCAATCCAATGAGAGGCTTAAAAAACCCATTCTTACACACACTTGGTAGAATCATGTGGTTGAAATTTCCCCATAACGAGATCCATTTTTTGGATGTCCATCCTGAGTAAGGTTAATACCTTGCGGATCCTTGCGGTTAATCACCATTGACCCTACCAAATGACCATGTTTATCAACGTGACCTAAAATGGGTTCTAAATCCCCCATTCTCAAACGAACCTCAAATATCATATTAAGTTAGTTGTATTTGTAATGTGTATGTATATATGTATATATATTATATATGTATATGAGCCGCGGACAATATTTAGTACATCAAGTAATTGACCGGGTGCTCCTACCTCGTGTTTCATTCCAGGACCTCGTTTTGCCTAGCTCATTCTCCGGGTGTTCCTACCTCGTTTTGTAATCTAAAGATTGTATTTTTGGGGCGTGCCACCCAATTCTACTCTTCCATCACTTCATCACTTCATCAAATAAAGGCTGTCACTCATATTATATATATACACTGCGGGCGGAAAGCGCGGCTGGTTTTGTCGGTGCGCCGTCTGCGCCATATCTATCTATCTATCTATCTATCTATCTATATATTATATAATATCACCCATGCAGATAGATATATATAATTATATATATATATACACCCTATAATTATTGTATTAGATATCATTGATATCATGTTTATATCATATCCATCAAACCCCTCTGGAATCAGCTTCTGCAAGGACCCCAATTCGAGCCGGGCCGGGTCTGTAGGCGACACGGGGACAGGTCGGGCTGCACGCCTAGGCTGGATTTTCAGTCAATACCTAGTTTAGTCCATCGTTGATCAATGATCATCAATGACAACGGCGTTTTCAGATCTTTTCAGTCAACACCTAGTGACCTTTAAAAATGCAATCCATAATCATCTTGCCATATCTTACCATCAGTTTTCCACCTCCACAACCAACTGGGATACTGTAATCTGTGCATGATGAAGCTAATCTGAAGCAGATCAAATTTATCCAGGCGGATCAGGTCGATCATCATTCATCCCATGAGTCATTTATCCTGGACCCGTAAGGATGGATGATAGTGGATGATCATCCTCCAATAAGATCAAATAAAACCACTTAAATTGGAGCAGACAAATCCAATGATCATGGGAATGATGATCATGATGATCTTTTACCATCCATTTTCCAATGATCATCCTCCAATGATCATCATGTTTGCCCGTCGAATCGTGGAATCGATGAATTTTTCATGGCACCCAGGAGTCGACTCTGAGGTGCGTGCTCACATGTGGTGCCCTGGGCGAAGAACAAAACCATTGCTGGGAGATTCATGAGTTGTAAAACTATTCATTCTGGCTAAATTATAATATTTCACTAACCTGAATTAAGGCCATTTGGGGATGATTTCCCTTATTAACCATGATTTCCAGTGAGGTCGCAGTGAGGTCCTTATAATTTACCCTGATTTATGGTGATATATGATGATATATGTCAAGTTCGATGGGGGCTTAATATGGGACGGATTACCGGGTATAGAATATCTTAACAAGAAAAATATCTGGCAAACCACTCTAAGTGACCTTTTCACCACTGGTTTGAGGTCACTCAGGCCCTTGAAATGATCACTTACTGACCCCAAAACAACATGGCCAGGTCAGTAAACCTTCACGTCAACTCAGGGTCAGCCTGGGCATGTGGTGAATTGGCACCCTAAGGCAAATAAGCATAGATGTGGAAAACCCATGAAAAAACCTGCTTTTTGATCCACAAATGGCGGGTTTGCCACATCTATGTTCGATGCACCTTAGGGTGCCTATTTCTTGAGCCAGAGCCATCCGCAACCCGTATCAGTCTCATTCTAAGTGGGTATGGATCAAACTACGGTTTCCAAACCCACAAGAATTTAGCTGGTCGTGGTTGGCATCGAGTCATCCAACAGCTGAGATTTTGTGAGATGCTTGTTTCCATACATAGTACCCCACAAAGATCTCCTTATAGGCCTTATATCAACTTGTTGGTAATAGTCTTCCCTTGTTGTAGAGGCTTTTTGGGGCATCCCCAACAAAACAGAAACAGAAAATCCTACTAAAATCGTTGTGACATACGTGTCTATCTGATTTTGGGGGTTTCTATAGTGTTACCCCGTATCTCCCCAATCTCTGTGCAACCTCCAGTGGTATCCAAAGTCGATCCCTCGAACTCTGAGCTTGCTGCACAGCTGGGAATGTCTGGGCATGGTGCAAGTTGTACAACCTCACAGTCTGTCACAGTCTGTCACTGGCCATTCTGGTCCTACATGGATTCTTTTTGAATACCTCAAAGCCTGGCTTCCACGGAGAAAAATCTGAAAGTTTTCATTGTAGTTTAAAGCAACGAAATACTCAGCCAACTCATTTCCTATCCAATGAAAATTGATGCAACCAGCATTCAGAAACCCTTCATTATCGGCTACTCAAAAACATGGTGTTTATAGATTTGTTTATAACTATTCATTTTGGCTAAATATAAATCGATTTATAAATACTATCACTATATCATCAAAATGGTTTTTATATGTTTTTATGGAATTATAGATACTATATGATACTAGAACATACTATAACTATCATGAACTATTGGTGTGCCAAATGGCACTCTCCTGTGTCAGAGTGCAAACTCCCAAAATCCCTGGATGCCCCCACGTCGGGGAAGCCATCGCAATCAGAGGCAGTTCGTTTGTAGCGCTTTTTTTTGTGGCAATTAAGGACACATGTTTGTTACCTATCATGAAATATCATGACTGAAAATACTGAAAGTCAAACAGCTATTTTAATGGAGATGTTTTCAATGTTCTTCATGTGTATCTGTCTGAAAATTTGAAGCTGTAACTAGGTGCTGACAGGACCACTCCAACCAAGACATACTACAAAGGCTGTGCCAAAGGAGCAGCAAGAAAGAAGTCCCATTTTCCACCTTCAACGCTTCAGCCCGCATCTTCAGAATGCCCCGTTGTCTTCCGTGTTTCCAGTATGTTTCCTATCCCATAGGATCCATGCTGCTGTTATATATGGTAACATGGATCCCATCAATTTACCCCAGTCATGTTACCATACATAGCAGCACCATGGATCCGTCATGGGTATGGTTCCACAGAAATCCTGCCAGACTCCATCTTTTTGGCTCCGCTTGGCTCAACGAACTCAGCCGGACCTAGTGAATTCAACGACGCATCAGGGACCAGCTGAGCAGAGGTTACGGCCAGGCGATCTCCGGACTGGGGACCACCCTCTGGAGACGTTTTCAGACACAGATAGCCACCCAAACTGTGTCATCACATGGATTTTTCTTTGGCACGAACTCACCAAAATGATGAATCTGTAGTTGTTTTTTTGCTTGTTGATGTTGTTGATGGTTCAACCCCCCATGTTTGACTGGAAAAAGATGCTTAAAAAAATCCCTTTGTTTGGTCGCAAAATCTCAATGTTCTGCTGTCATTTCATCATACTAGTTGATTAATACGGATTTAGATGATGGATGATAACCCAAGAAAAGGTAGCTTTTCACCCCCTACAAATCCATACAAATCCTACAATCATCAACCAACAAAGGTTTAGCGGGCACTGCTCAATTTGCATCATCAAATAATCCCCATAATTCTCCTATGATATCCTATATCATCCTCATCAAAAACCAGCCAAACCTTGTTCGCTGATCATCCCTATAATTCTTGCTTCGATGCCAACAAATAATTCTCCAGAATCAAGCAGCTTGAGGTATTTCCCAATGGAAAGGATTCTCCTAATGTCACTGGGAATTCCAGGATCCTAAATTGGAGGTACGTTAGTACCATATTTCAGGCCATATTTTCTGGGGATATTCCCAAACCATAGGCCTTATATAGGCCTTATATATGGTAACTACCTCCCATGGCCATTGAACAAACGGATTCCCCCCATCGATTTGTCGAGAAACGCCGGTGCCTGATGCGACCAGAGTCTACCCCCGCCTCTCAGCGAGCAGGCGCTGCACCGCGCGCGCCTCCGTGGCCATGGTGGAGCATGCCATGGTGGGCCGTTCATATCGAAAATGAGGGGGTCACATTGTTTACACTCTGGTAAACTAACGTAACTATGGAAAATCACCATTTTCAATGGGAAAATCCACTATAAATGGCAATTTTCAATAGCTATGTTAGTTTACCAGAGGGTAACCATCGAGAGATCGGGATTGATTCTCAAAACATGGAGATTTACAATCAAAAGATGTGGATGTTCATCAAATAATTCGGATTGATCATCAAAAACTTGACCAATGGGGCAGTGAACAGTGGCTCACCTTGGATGTTTACTTTACTAACTGAAATGTGGGTGTCCGATTCTGTAGATGTTCCCTTGCAGGAGACAGCAAACAATGACTTGGGTCACCTTCCAACAAAGTCTGTGAGACCTGGACCGGTAATGACCGCTATGGATCAACCTGTATATATCAACCATCAGTCAACACCAACATCATCACATGGATATTGTCCCACAAGGAGAATCTTCACTTTCCATAGGGGATGGCCCTAGAAACAAAAAATCCCATTTCCCCTGCCATGTTTTCCCCATGACATCAACGGTTTCATCTGAACGATTTTTCGCGGGATAAATCCCCTCTAGCGATCTAAGATTATCTAAGAGAGTTACGTGGAAAGCCATATTTTTTTTCTGGTAAATCGTCTACAAATCAATGGGAATTTCAGGATCCTAAAATGGAGGTACGTTAGTACCATATTTCAGGCCATATTTTCTGGGGATATTCCCAAACCATAGGCCTGAAAAATAGGCCAAAAATATATGGTAGCTACCTCCAATCAATCGGTTCCTGAAATAGCCATTGAACAAACGGGCATTTCAACCATGGCTACGATGGAGCAAGTGGTAACAAGGGATAAACCATTATTAACCATATATTAACCATCTATTATTAACCACTATATGGCAATGGAAAGGATTCTCCCAGAAACGATTCCCCCCATCGATTCCCCCATCGAAACGCCGGTGCCTGATGCGACAGTCTACCCTACCGCCTCTCAGGTAGCAGGCGCTGCACCGCGCGCGCCTCCGTGGCCCATGGTGGACCATGCCATGGTGGGCCGTTCATATCGAAAATGAGGGGGTCACATTGTTTACCCTCTGGTAAACTAACGTAACTATGGAAAATCACCATTTTCAATGGGAAAATCCACTATAAATGGCAATTTTCAATAGCTATGTTAGTTTACCAGAGGGTAACCATCGAGAGATCGGGATTGATTCTCAAAACATGGAGATTTACAATCAAAAGATGTGGATGTTCATCAAATAATTCGGATTGATCATCAAAAACTTGACCAATGGGGCAGTGAACAGTGGCTCACCTTGGATGTTTACTTTACTAACTGAAATGTGGGTGTCCGATTCTGTAGATGTTCCCTTGCAGGAGACAGCAAACAATGACTTGGGTCACCTTCCAACAAAGTCTGTGAGACCTGGACCGGTAATGACCGCTATGGATCAACCTGTATATATCAACCATCAGTCAACACCAACATCATCACATGGATATTGTCCCACAAGGAGAATCTTCACTTTCCATAGGGGATGGCCCTAGAAACAAAAAATCCCATTTCCCCTGCCATGTTTTCCCCATGACATCAACGGTTTCATCTGAACGATTTTTCGCGGGATAAATCCCCTCTAGCGATCTAAGATTATCTAAGAGAGTTACGTGGAAAGCCATATTTTTTTTCTGGTAAATCGTCTACAAATCAATGGGAATTTCAGGATCCTAAAATGGAGGTACGTTAGTACCCATATTTCAGGCCATATTTTCTGGGGATATTCCCAAACCATAGGCCTGAAAAATAGGCCAAAAATATATGGTAGCTACCTCCAATCAATCGGTTCCTGAAATAGCCATTGAACAAACGGGCATTTCAACCGTGGCTACGATGGAGCAAGTGGTAACAAGGGATAAACCATTATTAACCATATATAACCATCTATTATATAACCACTATATGGCAATGGAAAGGATTCTCCCAGAAACGATTCCCCCCATCTCGAAACGCCGGTGCCTGATGCGACAGTCTACCCTACCGCCTCTCAGGTAGCAGGCGCTGCACCGCGCGCGCCTCCGTGGCCATGGTGGACCATGCCATGGTGGGCCGTTCATATCGAAAATGAGGGGGTCACATTGTTTACACTCTGGTAAACTAACGTAACTATGGAAAATCACCATTTTCAATGGGAAAATCCACTATAAATGGCAATTTTCAATAGCTATGTTAGTTTACCAGAGGGTAACCATCGAGAGATCGGGATTGATTCTCAAAACATGGAGATTTACAATCAAAAGATGTGGATGTTCATCAAATAATTCGGATTGATCATCAAAAACTTGACCAATGGGGCAGTGAACAGTGGCTCACCTTGGATGTTTACTTTACTAACTGAAATGTGGGTGTCCGATTCTGTAGATGTTCCCTTGCAGGAGACAGCAAACAATGACTTGGGTCACCTTCCAACAAAGTCTGTGAGACCTGGACCGGTAATGACCGCTATGGATCAACCTGTATATATCAACCATCAGTCAACACCAACATCATCACATGGATATTGTCCCACAAGGAGAATCTTCACTTTCCATAGGGGATGGCCCTAGAAACAAAAAATCCCATTTCCCCTGCCATGTTTTCCCCATGACATCAACGGTTTCATTTGAACGATTTTTCGCGGGATAAATCCCCTCTAGCGATCTAAGATTATCTAAGAGAGTTACGTGGAAAGCCATATTTTTTTTCTGGTAAATCGTCTACAAATCAATGGGAATTTCAGGATCCTAAAATGGAGGTACGTTAGTACCATATTTCAGGCCATATTTTCTGGGGATATTCCCAAACCATAGGCCTGAAAAATAGGCCAAAAATATATGGTAGCTACCTCCAATCAATCGGTTCCTGAAATAGCCATTGAACAAACGGGCATTTCAACCATGGCTACGATGGAGCAAGTGGTAACAAGGGATAAACCATTATTAACCATATATTAACCATCTATTATTAACCACTATATGGCAATGGAAAGGATTCTCCCAGAAACGATTCCCCCCATCGATTCCCCCATCGAAACGCCGGTGCCTGATGCGACAGTCTACCCTACCGCCTCTCAGGTAGCAGGCGCTGCACCGCGCGCGCCTCCGTGGCCCATGGTGGACCATGCCATGGTGGGCCGTTCATATCGAAAATGAGGGGGTCACATTGTTTACACTCTGGTAAACTAACGTAACTATGGAAAATCACCATTTTCAATGGGAAAATCCACTATAAATGGCAATTTTCAATAGCTATGTTAGTTTACCAGAGGGTAACCATCGAGAGATCGGGATTGATTCTCAAAACATGGAGATTTACAATCAAAAGATGTGGATGTTCATCAAATAATTCGGATTGATCATCAAAAACTTGACCAATGGGGCAGTGAACAGTGGCTCACCTTGGATGTTTACTTTACTAACTGAAATGTGGGTGTCCGATTCTGTAGATGTTCCCTTGCAGGAGACAGCAAACAATGACTTGGGTCACCTTCCAACAAAGTCTGTGAGACCTGGACCGGTAATGACCGCTATGGATCAACCTGTATATATCAACCATCAGTCAACACCAACATCATCACATGGATATTGTCCCACAAGGAG